AAAAAAATGTGTTGTTTTTATGCTTAATGTAGGTCGGGTTGTTCTACAAATGGTTAAGGTAAAAACGGTGATGAAGTTAGGTAGGTAAAATAAGGCATATGCAATATTATCGAATTGATCCCTCGATTTGCCTCGAAAGAATCTTTCTTATAAGGCAATTTCTATGGTGCGCCTTCGGCAGTGACAGGAGTTCTGGAAAGAAGGGGACCTATGAGCTTGTTTTTGCAATATTGTCAAATTATATTGTGAAAAGCAAACGAAGTTTGCTTATGGAAAACAAAGTCTACCACCGCTCGGAATACTACCTTAAAACTCTGAAGTTTGCCAATTTTTAATTTTTCAGTGTTATCTTCAATGTACTGCTTGCATTCACTACGAACTATTAGTTCTTCAGAAAAGAATTAAAAGCTAACATTTTATTGCATTGGTGCGCATTTTATGACTTTAAATCTCTGATTTTCAGCGAGATAGTAATTGCATGAAAAGAATTTGTTTGTTAAAAATAGTTCCTCTCGCTTCACAAAATTTTGGAGACTGCTAAGGCAGCCTTTTGAGCGCACATATATAACTGCATAAACTTGAGCATTTCTGAAAAAGCTGCTACCGCTCAAATCCCACTTCTCTTCATAAGAACTATGTCCTGCTTTTCCTTTCAAGATTTGCTGTCGAAGCCTGTCAAGCTGTAAATTGGCAGGATAGCAAATTGTTAACTCAAACAAGAATCCTTGCAAAACATACCTTACGGCGAAAGTAAGCGATAAAGTATTAAGCTGCTTAGGTTTTAGGAAAATTCATGCTGCACTAAAAACACAGATTTAGCGGTAGACAAAAATAATATTTGAAAAAAATTGTCTTTAGCTTATTTCTCAGTCTAGACATTACTCAGGATCATGCTGGGCTGTATCGGATACAGAAGTGATGACAGATCGATTGTGCATAGAGACAAAAGGAAAGGAGAAAGTAAGTCTTAAATCAACTAAACACAAGCTTTTCAAAGTACTCGATTCTTGGATTGTCAATAAAATCTCAAACTTCATATAAGTAATCTGTATGCGCTGCAATACACTATCACTTACAAACCAAGGTCGAGTGAATAAGCATGTTTTCACTAGAAACCTTCAAACTCCGTATGTTCTTCTATAATTAATTTTGAACGCAGCGGACCTCGCAACTACAAGATCTACTCCAGAAAAATAATATCAATACGGCTGTTCATCAGCGACATGTTGCATCATATCAAACTCACAGCAACAGTGCAAAAGCCATTTAGCTTACTTAAAGATGCACTCTGTTGTTTGACTGCCACTGATGCTCCCAAGCTAACAGGTTGTGTACACTTTACTACCAGAAAAAGGGTAAGGTATTTTCTTAATAGTGTCTTGCAAACTGTGCCATATCACTGCTTGAAAGATCGCCATTCAAGTTAACTGACATTATTAAGGTGCATATTTCTGATACTGATTTGCTCTCATGCTGTGGAGAACTATGCGGCCGCGGGTAAGATTTTCCTCCAATATTCCTTTCACATCATTTTTTCTTCATGAATTTATAAGACTGCCTACTTTTAACTGCTTCTGAATATTAAGATGTCATGGAGGATTGACCAGTCGAGGTTGGCTCTATTTCACCATGACGGGCATTTGTACCGGAGGAAGATACGCCGAGAAGGTCTACATCTTAAGTGCCTAACTACATAAATCATAACATAAATTTTGTTTTTGAGGATTGCTGCAAACCGTACGCCTTTTACCCTTGCGGAGAACATAAAAATCAAACCTATTATGGACCATGTCCAAAGGAGACATGGCCTACACCAAAGTGTCGTAAAATTTGTCAGCTAAGATCTCACAAGGATTACAAAGAGGACAAGATATTTGGTATGGCTTTCCATCATTTACTGTTTGGTTATACTTTTCGTATTTGCATATTCGCGAAAGTGCGAAGTTGGTTGGTCCGTCCCACCTAATACACAGTAAAATTCAGGAAGTGATTACTATATAATCGAAAATGTAACTAGTATCCAGAGGGAAATAATGACAAATGGACCAATGGTAGCACAATTCCGTGTCTATCGAGATTTTTCCTTTTATGAAGGAGGAGTTTATGTGGTACTCTCTTTTTACAAACTATATAGACCGATTGCTTCGTACCGCTTCGTCAATCATATACTTACAGCACAAATGGGGAGAACAGCGAGGAGCACATGCAATAAAAATTATTGGGTGGGGAGTAGAAAACGGCACTCCTTATTGGTTAATCGCGAACTCATGGAATACTGATTGGGGAGAAAAAGGTATGTAATATTTTGCAGGCTTCTCAAAAAATTACATGAGCAAAGAATGATTTGAAAAACCTAGGGTACTTCCGTATTCTTCGCGGCGAGAACCACTGTGGAATCGAAGAAGTTGTGATCGGAGGGCATATTGACCTTGAAAAATTTGAATAGCGAGAGTACAGTTCCAGTAAAGTCTCAGCGAGCCCTATTTGTTAGGGAGAGATATGAATTATCATCATCCCTTAATCTAATCGCCCAAATTTTGTGTAGGTAACAGACCTCGGCGGCAGGTCTCCGCAGGGCAAACTGGAATTCGCTTTTGTGAAAAAACAAAGCGGAAATCGTACGGGGTCCGGAGAAGAGCCTGGAGGTCAACCTTAATGACCGCTT